AAATTGAGTTAAGAACTTTTAATGGTATCACCATTAGAGCATCATTATTGGTAAAATTTTGTAGGTGTCTTTAAATATAAAATTATTAAAATTTGAGTAAAAAGAAGAAAGAGAGTGGTTTTGGTTGAAATAATGGGGTGTATTGAAATATAAAATTAATAAAATTTGAGTAAAAAGATGATATAGTGGATATTTTTGGAGAGAGAGTGTCTTAAGAAGACATAAGAAAACACTTTTGGAGAAAGAATATCTTTTAGTTGTGGTGTGTTTAAATATAAAATTAATAAAAATTGAGTAAAAAAATGAAAGAAAAGGTATAAAGTTGAGTAAAAGTAAGAGAGAGTGTGTTTTTAATATTTGTTTATTTAAAGACATCAAAAAAAAAAAAATCACATTGTAAAGAATGCTCTTAGGATCACGTGGCCAAGTTTCATTTTTCAACGAATTTCAATAAGTGCCTCATAACTTAATTACACGTTCGACTCCCCAAAAATACTAGTATAAAATTCGGAATGGATCTCAAGGCCCACGTGTTCTCTCTACGATAAGAACAAAATAATGGAAAAACAACGAAGAGGAAGAGAAAGAGAAAGAAGCTGGGGTTGACTTTACCTGAGAGGTTGAGGTTGAAGCTTTCTTGGTTACACTGTTCCAGATTAATCAGCGGACAGAGGAAGAAGAGAAAGCACTATGGGTGTCGGAATAAACGCAATGCCGGTGACGTTTGTGGCACACGCGCTCGCTCTAATCGCGGCGATTATGATGCTGGTTTGGAGTATCAGTTTCAGAGGTGGATTTGCTTGGGAAGCTACCAACAAGAATCTCATCTTCAATGTATGCCCTTCTTCCTTCCCTTTTGTTCCGTCTTGCGTCTGCGGTCTTTGGGCATTTGTTGGATTGGTTAGGGGATTTTTACAAATCTGCTTTGATCCCACATAGCTCTGATTTTGGTTACAATAATCAATCTTGTGTGTATCCCAACTAGTACTTAGATCCATCAGTGTAGTTGGGGCTCGTCTATGGTTTAGGTTTTCATTGATGGTTATAGCTAGAGAAGAGACAGGTGAAATGAAATCTCTTTTGGCTATATAATCTTTATTTCAAAGTTCATGCTTCTTGTTGAGACATAAAAAAAAAAGATGCGAAAGGGGACTTCTCTTTGGTTGTCTCTTTTGTTTCTTGCATCATGAAGTTCATGTGTTTGATGTCTTCTCTGATCTTTCTTTCCTTTTTTTTCTATGTGATACAGCTGCATCCTTTTCTGATGCTCGTTGGATTTATTATCTTGGGAGGAGAAGGTAAACCATAACATCATTTGTTGACACATTGAGGAAAATTTGAATACTACTTTCATTCCGATTTGGTTGATATATAAAACTGTGTGTTGATATTATTGGAAACGCAGCCATTATAAGTTACAAATCGCTTCCTCTGGAGAAACCTGTGAAGAAGTTGATCCATCTTGTTCTCCATGCCATCGCTCTGGCTCTTGGGATCTTGGGCATCTGCGCAGCCTTCAAGAACCAAAACGAATGCAACTTCTCTAATCTTTCCAGTCTCCATTCCTGGATTGGTATTGGTGTCATTTCTCTTTATGGCTTCCAGGTAAACTCACTGTCACTGGCCTTATGACTAAAGCATTGCTTGAATCAGGAATCCTGAAACTAGTAAACATTCATAGAAAATTCGCTACGTACCAAGAAATCATTTATTTGGAAAAGACAAATTGTTCCTGACCAAAACTTTTGCGCAGTGGCTGTACAGCTTCGGATTGTTCTTCTACCCAGGAGGATCATCAAATCTGAGAAGCGGTTTGCTTCCATGGCACGCAATACTCGGTCTATTTGTTTTTGTACTTGCTGTTGGGAATGCAGCTTTAGGGTTTCTTGAAAACCTGACTTTCATGGAGAATGAAGGGCTTGACGAGTTCGGAAACGAAGCATATCTTGTCAACTTCATGGCCATTGTTACCATTCTCTTTGGTGCCTCTGTGGTACTCACTGTCTCCGCCAAGTCCGAGTCTACTTCCTCTCCCTCCGTTGATGATGACAGTAACTATAGCTATTCCGCTATATAGATCACTTTCTTAAAATTACATTCTCATCTGTATTGCCACTCGGTACTGTCAAAACTCCATTCATTTCTGATACATTTGTATTGAAGACCTCTTTGTGTTCTTGTTTCGTCTGCGCTGATTGCTACTTCATATTCTGTCATAACTTCAACAAGATTGACAACAAAACTGGCTTAAA